TGATCGAGGTACAGGATAAGAGAGAATGTGGAGTTGGATGGGTTCAAAAAAGAGCCATGGAGGTCAGGTCCATCGGCTATTAGCCAGGATGGTAGGAATGGTGAGCCTAGCCCCTTTGTCTGTCTGGAAATGAATGACAGGAGAGGGACCACATGAGGATTACCTGTTGTGTTCCCTCCCTCTGGGGCATCCGGTATTGACCACTGTCAGCAGACAGGATACTAGGCTAGATGGACCTATAGTCTGACCCAGTATGGCCGTCCTTATGTTCATATAATTATGTCAGATCTCTGCAGAAGTTTCATTTTGGTCACAGAATGGCCTCTCATGGAATACTACAGCATCTGCTCTCTAAAGGAAAACCAGTTAAATAAGGAAGGTGCCAGAAAGGTCTCAAGTTACAGTGGGGAAGGTCTAGGTTAGATATTAGGGAAAACTATTTCACTAGGAGGGTGGGGAAGCACTGGAATGGGTTACCTAGGGAGGTGGTGGAATCTCCATCCCTAAAGGTTTTTAAGTCTTGGCTTGACAAAGCCCTGGCTGAGTTGATTTAATTGGGATTGGTCCTGTTTTGGGCAGGACTTGATGACCTCCTGAGGTCTCTTCTTGCCATATGATTCTATGAAAGGGCAGGGGAGAGGCAGGGAGAAAAATGGTGATGTCAGTGGAGTATTCTGTGTATACTCTGTACTTCACAAAATGAGTCTACCTACATGCTTAAGCTTTGAACGTACACACACATTTCCCACAGTTATACTACAACTGGTGTAGTTTAAGTGGACTAAGCAATAGTGAATTTAATCTATTACTCTCAGTAGAAAAGTTTTTATATGTGAGATGATTTCTTAAAATCTCCTTACACAAAATCATGTTCCTCTCCCCCCACTTCATCTCTTCCTCTTACCAACATCCAGACTAGCCCTGTGGTCTGTATTTAGCTCAGGGGTGAGCAAAAGGGCCTGTACGAGCGGCCCACCAAATGGGTGGATTTGGCCCATGGAGGCCCTGGCGTGCCCCCACCCCCAGGCCAATTAGGGCCTGGGGTGGGGGGAGTGCACAAAGTTTCCTCTGCCCTGCAAGGAGTACACAGCACTTGGAAGCACCAGGCGCTCCTGGCAGTGCTGGAGGAGGCTTCGCATGCTCCCCCACCCCCAGGAGGAGCACAAAAAGTTTCCTCTGCTCTGGCCCTGCCCTGTGAGGAGCACATGGCACTTAGAAGTGCTGTGTGCTCCTGGCAGGATGGGAGAAGACTTCACACATTCCCCCACCCCCAGACCCTGACTGGCCTGGGAGCCGGGGAGTGTGGGAAGTCTCCTCCCAGCCAGGGGCATAGGCACCCAGGGGAAAGGAGGAGGGCAGGTGGGCAAAGGCGCTCCGCCAACCCCAGACCAATCATGATCTGGGGGTGGGGAACCCCGAAGTGCCCCATCCCCACCCCTTCTACTTGAGGCCCTGCCCCTTCTGGTGCAGCCCGGGGCCACTTCAGAGATTTTTTTTTAAGTGGCCCCGGCAAAAAATTATTGCCCACCTCTGATTTAGCTTGTTTTCCTTATTGATATTAGCTTTTGCAGTGTATTAACAAACTACTGTAGACATACCCAGACTAGGGATGTGAATCGTTTACTGGTAAGCCTCACCTATTAAGGATGAAGCTTACTGGTTAAGGTTAACTGGTGGGGGCTGGAGCAGCTCCCTGCCTGCAGCAGAGAAGTGTTGCTCTGGTCATCTGGAGCAGCTCCTGTCTGTGGCGGGCCTCCGCACCCAGCAGGCAGGCACTGCTCTGGTTGCCATGGGGGAGGGCTCCCCTCACTTGGTTAACCAATTAAATAGGATTTTTGCATCCCTAACCCAGATAGCAGGCATGGAACAACCCTGGGTAACTTGTACTACAGGGATATTTTTCATTGCTGTACAGACTTCCAGGGTTGTGCTAGAGCCCAAGCTCTGAGACTGCCTCAGAATACAGGGTGTTGGGGCCTAGCTGGAGTGGAGGGTTCCAGAATTCAGGCTCCAGCCAGAGCCCAGAAGTCTACACGGCAGTGAAACAGCCCTGCAGCCTGAATCAGCTGGCATGGGCCAGCTGTGGGTTTTTCTTTGATGTGTAGACATACTCTTTGTGATCCTTGGTAGTTACATTCTCTTTCCTAAGCACTTCTATGTCGCTCTGTATTATTCCGCAGCACCTAGTGCTTCCATAACTTGTTCTGAGTTATTCTCCTATCTCTGATATACCTTGTTGGGCAAATTATCTTTTGATATGAGAATCCCCCATAGAATGTGAATATTCACTCAGGATGTAGTGCAGACGATAGGGATTTTGTTTCTTCTGCCATTTCAATCCCTGCTTCTCAGCAAAGTGCGGATTTGACTATGGAGTAGTCAAAGGAAAGCTAAGATCCTTTTACTCATAATGTTCCAAATATTTGTAAAGATGCTCTTGTCAATATGAACAAATTGCAAGATTGTATTTAAGTTTAATTACAGCTGATGTCCTAGAGCCTTGTGCTAGAGGTGACAGTCTTCTGAAAAGTGATGACTAGTGGGAGAGAGACTTGAAGTGAGAGGCATTATGAAAGACTCTAAGCAGCTTATTTGTTTAGGCTTTGATAAAGACATATACCTTAAATAATCACTTCCTCATGATAGTTGAAAGGAAACCAGTACCAACTTGTTTCAGGACTGATCGTAAAATAGTTTCCTCCCACATAGGGTTCAACTGACAAGTGTGCTTTATTGTACACGTGGTGACAAGCTTTTCTGTCTGTGAACTATGGAGCATAGCCAAGTGAAATCATGTCTCTTATTTTTCTAAATCACTTAGTTTTGTGCCTTTTTACAACTTGAATTCTATAATAGATCTTCCCATGTTGCTCAAAGAATGCCTTACTTAAATATAACCATAGGCTGGAGGAATATTTCTCTATGGTACTGATTTATGAAGCAAATCTCAGTGTATTTTGCCGTGTTATTACTTTTGCTCTTTAACCCAACATTTAGCATGGGATTATGTTATCAGAACCCTTTGTTTGTGTTTCATTCACTACACACAAATGTAACAGGTTTTCTGTCAGAAATTATTCTGAAAATTGAGTAAGGGAAAGCTATATGGAGAATTTAATCCCACTATGACCCAATGCCGAACCTTCAGCATAATTGACAATTTCTGTAGACTGTGTTGTCTGTCATACATGGACCCTGGTGGTGGGAAGGGTGAGTGTTTTGGAGAGGTAAAAATTTTGAATAGTACTTACTGAGATGGTTAATGGAAAATAATTCAGATCTTGCTGTTAGACTAAAAACTGGATACTAATTGCAGCTAATTTATTTTATGGGTTATTCACCTGAAGGAAGTGGGTTGTGCTCACGAAAGCTCATGATACCATCTACATGTTTTTTTAGTCTCTAAGGTGGTGCAAGACTATTTGTTGTTTTTTGAGTTATTCTATGGTTATTGACATTAAGTACTTAAATATCACTGTGATTGGAACTTCTAGGAAAATCTAAGATTAGTAGATACATAGAAGGCCTCTGCAAACTCCTGGACAGTGAAATCCCCTACCATGTACTGGAATGTGTATAAGAAGTGGCTACGCAAGGGGGCTCTGCATGTTGGAAGTAGCTTCCATAGCTATACATCCTCATAGCTCAAAGTTTGAGCTGGACTTGTGAATTTTACCTGATAGAAGGCTGTTTGGGTGTTTGTCACAGCGGGAAACCCTGATATCTTCACTCCAATCTCTATCCCTCCCCCTTTCTTATGATGTGTTACATCAGAAGTGGGCACGGATCCACCTGCGTCCCATGAATCCCCTGTCTGCACTCCTCTCCCACATGCTTCTCGTGCACCGGAGCACTGCACTTCCTGTGCCTCCCTCCTTCCCCGCACTTTCGGAGGAACCGTGAATCACCTGATTTACCATCCATCCCTACTCCTCCTCTCTCCCAGAGCTGGAATACCATGAACAGCTGATTTGTGGCATTTCAGCTCTGACAGGGAGCAGGGGAAGTGGGGACAGAGCACAAATCAGATGATTTGTGGGCTGTGAAAGCGCTAGGCAGAGGGAGAGGCGTGCACAAGAACCGTGTGGGGGAGGGAGGTAGACAGGGGTACCTCAGATGTAATTGAGTGGCCCACAGGCTGCTGCCATCCACTGAGGTGACGGAAGGCCTCTCATGCAGCCCACCCACTACTCATGACTGCCCATCTTTGCATTACATGATGGAGTATGGAGGTTGAGAGAGTATTATTCTGGGTTCATCCCCTCTGGTATCTGGGCACCTTCTAGCAGTGCATTGAGCAACAGGATTAAGGAGCTTTGGTTCACAAGCTTCCACTGAGGAGAGAAGAGCAATGGAGTGTGTTTTTGGTTTTGGAACTTGAGTGTGCACATAATATATTTAAAAAAAAAACATGTTGAAACATATTAGAGAAGATAAGGTTACAGAAATGTGCCTTGCAAGTAGAATGGAAGATGGAGAAGTTAGTGATGACTTTCATTTCCTGCGGATGTTCACTCCAGTTTTGGGCCATTCCCAGGTGAGCTGCAAAACCCCAACGTATTACTTGTGTAATTACTGAACTTTTCAGTTTCTTACCAAAACTTCAATGACTGAAATGGGTTAAACACTTTAAATAGTTCTCCAAAAGGGGAGACTTATCTTATATTTCCACTCTGTTCCATATTTGAATTCTTCCAGTGTATCTCTTAGCATTTTATGCTGTTTTGTTCTTGTTTTAAAGCAATTGTCAATATATATCTAATTTGCAAAATCTATTTAGGATTTTGATGCAAACTGATATTATGTACAAACTTTATTGTCTTTGTATTTAGTATTTTAATTCAAGCCACTGCCTCATTTATTTGGGGGAAAATTCTATAATTAAGATTGTACTTAAAGTCAATGAAATGATCAGGGAAGAGGGTATGAATAAATTTGGAGCTGCACTATAATTTGTTGACCTGGTTATTTTTATTTAATTAACTGGTTTATTTTAATAGGTGGAAAAAACAAGCATGAAGCTGATGCCAGGACAGGAAAAACCCAGGAATACAAGAGAGACAGAATTCTGGTAGGTTTAAAAAGCAACACCCCGCTCAGTATAGGGATGTTAAATTTCAATTAATCAGCTAATCAAGAAGTTGATGGAATTTCCATTGACTATTCAATTAGTCGATAAGGGATATATGGGGCGCTTGCTATCCCAGATGCGCCTCTGCCTTTTAAAAATAGTAAGAGCCACAGGTGGCTCTTACTACATTTCAAAGGCAGAGGCACACCGGGGAACTGCAGCATTTCTGCCTTTGAAATGTAGCAAGAGCCCTGGGCTCCTGTTACATTTCAAAGTCAGAGATGCAGTCAGGACCTGGCGTGAGCAAGGAATGCTTGAGTTCCCACTCGAGCCATTTCCTCACTGTGTCTTTGCCTCCCCTACCCCACATGGAGACAGTGCTGGGGGGAATCAGCTTTTAAGCCACGTTCCCCAGCACTGACTCCTGCTAAGGGCAGGTGGAAGTGACTAGTCGAGCAGTGACTCAACTACAGGGAGTCTGCTATTTGTCACCCCAATATACGTTGGTTCCGTACTAGTGTCATTGATGCTCCCTGCTCTTCCATCGCACGAAAAAAAAAAAGAAAAAGCACCAATTCGCACAAATGAAAGTCAGCCTCAGGAAAAAAAATTCCCCACTTTACGTCCTTTTGCTATATGTCCACATTTTAAAAAAAACGTGATCTCAGATGTATAGTGGGGATGCCCTGTACTAGGGATGTAAGTGACTAGTCAACTATCCGAGAAGCAAAAGCATATCAGTCGATTAGTCTTTTGACTAGTCACTTCCTCTCTTCCCCTCCTTCCCCCATTGCTGCCTCTGTTAGAGGCAGCAAGGGGACGGGGAGTAGGATCTGGTGCTGAGGGGATGGAGTAGCTAGTTCCCTCCAGCACCATCTCTGCAGGGGAGGCAGAAGGGACCGGGTGTGAACTGGGAATCAGCTGATTCCTGTCTCAGGCCCATTCCCAGACACTGCGCTTCTGCTTTTTAAATGTAAAAAGTCTACAGTGCAGCGGGGGGGACCCACACGCACCTGGAATCAGCTGTCCTGGCTCGCGCTGGGTCCCCCCAGCTGCGCTTCAGCTATTTAAGAGGCAGAGCCGCAGAGGGATTCATTCCTGGGTCTGGGAGCTAAGCCTGCTGTGGCTCCCCTGCTTATTGACTAGTCGATGGAAAATCCATTGACTAGTTGATTAAACAAATTTAACATCCCTACCCTGTACCCGTAAGCCTATGCTTATCAAGTAGTCAACTAGTTGATTACATCCCTAGTCCAGTATCTTGTCTTCTGATAGTGGCCGGTGTCAGGTGCCTATAGCGAATGAACAGAACATCTCCTGTTCCTTTTCATAGAACAAAAATTTTGTGTGTGGGGGAGAGGGGGGTGTGTTTGTTTTGTTTTGTTTATTTTCCCCAGAAATCTTTTTACATCAGCTGCTTTAGTAATACTTGTATTTTTATTGATTTTAAGGTAAATATTATTATGTATGTCTTTCCTACTGCTCTGGAATAGTAGCTAGTAAAAAGTTTTAATGCTTTCATTTCCAGATTGAGATATGGGAGAAATTAAGATTCTCCATATATATATTTCTGACAATTTCTATATATTGTATATGAGAGAGAGAGAGAGCTAACAATTGAGTAAGGCTTAAATTATGCATAAAATGATATGAAAGATCACTTCAAAAATGCAATTTAAATGCCTGTTTAAAAATAGACCACAAAAATATCAATATCATGTCAACGAGAAAGGTGTCTCCAGGAACTTTCTGAAAGCTAGATGACCATGTGTCACTAAATACTTCCCCCCTTATCTTTTTCAGATCTTTCCTGAAAGAAGCCCTAGAGTTGTGTCAATGCTCATTCTTCAGTATGTTTAAGGGTCTGTATCACAAGAATAAAATGCTGAATGTGCACGTGAACCATGTTTCAAATGAGAGGATGTCTGAATAGTTTTCCCAGTAAATGAATTGTAAATTGAAATGCCAAAAAAAACCTAAAAAGATGTATGTAAAATGTCCCTGTTAAATTTAGATTGGCATAATTACTATGGACACAGGCTGAATCTTTCTAGTCCAACCACCTTAACACCTGATAGGTGCCAAACCAGAGAATGTGTCCACTCAATATTATAGAGAATGGGTCTCTTGATTTTTATTTCAGAGGTGAATAAATGGAACAGCATTTGCAATGCTGCTTAATAATGTATGCCCTATATAAGCCTACGCATAGCCAAGGCTGATCAGCTCTCTTCATTATAAAGGGTTACCCAATTTTGGAAATGCATATATAAAGCATAAAAAAATGCCTATATTTAGCTGCATTACCAGCACTTCCACTGCTTACTGTCCTCTTAGAGGACATTTGGGGTAATTTAGATCTAAATAGTAGTATAGAACACTGAGCCAGGACTGGTGGCTGTAAACAAACTTTATGGGACTGAGAGAGAACTAGCCGCAGAGATACAAACTGCACTTTAAGCAGATAACGCTAATTTCTATAGATACTTCAAGCCACTAACACATTCACATTCTCTGTATTGCACACAACACATTTCTTTCTGTTGCATTTTAAAATGCCACCAGTTTTTAAAGGGACTCAGCAGATCTAAGTGATCTATATTTGACCCACCATGTAGAATTAACACACTTAATCCAGTAATGTAGTAGAAAAGATCTGATGGGGAGGAAATAACATTTGAATTTATAGTTTCATTGCTAGAGTTGGTCATCATAAAATAGTTTCATGAAAATTCAAACTTTATCTAACCTTTCAAAAGTCTAAACTTTGATGTCCTTAATTATTACATTTTGTAAATGTCAGGAAATTCCTTTTAAGTAAACCATACACTATTTAAAGGAAAGACTTGATTAAAAAGCCACTGCTGCAAGGTAGACCTGAATTGCAGGAAAACATATTAGAAATGATTTTGTGTTTCATTTTTGTTTTAGGTTTTTTCTTTCCATTTCCAGTGCATATATGCATACTTTCAAGGAATGAGAACTGATGACTCTGAAGCTGGTGAAGTGAGTTTGAAATCATGAATATAAAGAAACTTTGAGCCAAGTGAAGCCCTGATGTTGTGTGAAATGCTGTTAAGAAAACTTTGTTTCCGTCAAATCTTACGCTCCAAGTTACTCCTCATTCTAGTTTTCACTTTAGCAACCATTTTTGTTCTAAATAATAATCAAAAGCCAGACTTCTTGAATCACAAACATCTAGAGCTGACTGATGAAGATCCCACCAGTAATATTAACTGCTCTAAGATACTGCAGGGCGATATAGAGGAAATTCAAAACGTAAAGCTTGAGATGTTAACGGTGTCATTTAAGAAACGCCCTAAGCTAACAGCAAGTGATTATATTAATATGACAATGGATTGTGCCTCTTTTACCAAAATGCGGAAGTATATTATGGAACCTCTCAGTAAAGAGGAAGCTGAATTTCCAATTGCCTATTCAATAGTCATATATCACAAAATAGACATGCTTGATAGACTTCTAAGATCAATCTATGCACCTCAGAATTATTACTGCATTCATGTTGACAAAAAGTCTCCAGAATCTTTTCTGGCTGCAGTTAAGGGAATTGTGTCCTGTTTCAGTAATGTCTTTATTGCCAGCCAATTGGAAAGTGTAGTGTATGCTTCATGGAGCAGGGTACAGGCCGACCTCAACTGCATGAAAGATCTCTACAGAAGAAGTATGAACTGGAAATATTTGATAAATTTATGTGGTATGGACTTTCCCATTAAGACCAACCAGGAAATTGTGGAGAAATTGAAAGCCCTAAAGGGTGAAAACAGCTTAGAAACTGAGAAAATGCCTTCCAGCAAAGAAATACGATGGAAAAAACACTATGAAATTGTTGATGGTAAACTAAAGAACATGGGAATAGACAAACAACCTCCACCTCTCAGTACACCTGTTTTCTCTGGCAGTGCCTATTTTGTTGCTAGTAGGAGATTTGTAGAGTATGTGCTAGAAAACAGCAAAATCCTTGAGTTTATTGAATGGGCTAAAGATACATATAGCCCCGATGAATACTTGTGGGCTACTATTCAAAGAATCCCTGAAGTTCCAGGGGCCGTTTCTTCCAGTGACAAGTATGATATTTCTGACATGAATGCTCTTGCGAGGTTTGTGAAGTGGCATTATTTTGAGGGGGATGTGTCAAAAGGTGCCCCCTATCCTCCGTGCAATGGAATTCATGTGCGTTCTGTGTGTGTATTTGGAGTGGGAGACTTGAACTGGATGTTACAGAAACACCACTTATTTGCTAACAAATTTGATACTGATGTTGACCCCTTTGCAATTCAGTGCTTGGAAGAATATTTGAGACACAAAGCTTTGCACCAACACAAAAATTAAAATGCCTTTTTGTTTTGGCACAACTGCCTCATCTTGATAAAACTGTTGTGTAGATAAAATAATTATATAGTGGCAATATATGTGTGTTTCACCTTACTCGTTGCCTTGGTATGAGCGTCAAACTTCATGTGGGTATACATGAGATGTTCAGTCTCACCTGACCACTTAACACACCAATTTCCATACCTCATACCCTATTATTGGAAGCAGTCCAAAGAGCATAATTGGAGAGAGCTACTCCAGCAAGTCCAGCTATTCTTGTGTAACATTTCATTAGCCTTTCAGGTTCCTTTTTTTTGGTTCTCTGCTACTGTTTAATCCACAGACTTAAAAACAGAACTCCCTGATCTTATCTATTACTCAATCCTTTTTCATAATCAGGGCTCAACAAATTATAGAATCTACTCGCCCACGGTGAGTAGATTATAACCCGGAAGAGCCGGGTTCCGGTGACCTGCGCATGCGCAGAACGATCTGCGCATGCGAAGGTCGCCAGACAGCGTGGCTGGCGAGCAGGGCTCGCTGCGGTTCGGCGAGCCCTGTGCATAATCATCCCCAGTTGGGCAAGGGGTAGAGGAGAAGCTAGACTGTGCAAATATGTTGATGCAAAATAATCTCAGGGAATACATATTAGGGATTCTTTAAAAGGTAACACAGGGGAATTGAGCAATATGCCAAAGCAAAGACTGAATCCTCTCTTCAGAAAACTTTAAACTTTAAGTTGACATCTTCACCAACCAGCTATAAGGTCATCTTCCAGTAATGTTTTGTGTGAGTGTTCTAGTTTGTGAAAACTATTTTAAAGTTTAACAGTTACATTTTAATTTTGGAATAAAAATTATAGCTCTAATCTGTAATGTCCATCTTCTCAGGGAAATTTATTATTCTGTGCCTGTTAGAATATAAGTGCTGATATCAAATTTATTTTTTATGCATTGTCACTTTTTCTACACTTGTAATTTTTTTTTTTTTTTTTAGTCTAGTCTATGAAGATTGAGATTATTTTATGTTGCAACTCTGGCATAGCAGAGCTTCGGGTCTTAACTTTCTGAAGGAGTGAACATACATCTAGTCTGCCCAATTGTATCCCAGAACATTTAAATACTTACTGAATATCCAGAAAAATAAATTATTTTTCTAAGTGAAACTGTTTCCTCTTGACTTTTGAATGTCCCCTCTTAAAGCACTGTAAATATAACTGACTGGTATAGTTAAATTGCTAACTTGGGGCGAATCATGTTAAGCCTTGTTCAAGTAGGTAGTCCTCAGTCCCAATAAATTGAGTGGGGCTACCTATATGAATAGAATGGAGGGTGTAGTTTCCATATACATTGTAACAGAACTGCCATAAATATTAGCCAGCCTTTTAGTCCTAACTGTTGAAATTATTTTGATCCTTTTGGGGGTGAAGGAGAGAGGTTAGCATAAATTGAAGCTCAGTATGCACTCTGCAGGGGTCTACTTTTTATTTTGATTCTTTACATATGTGCAGATGCATGATCCTGCTCATGTGAGGAATCCTAATGAAACCAGTGTTGTTCATACGAGTAAGTTAGCTACATAACTGTTAGCAAAATTAGACCCATGACATCGACACTAGGGCTGAGAAGCCTGCTCTAGGAAGAGTGATTGGGGAACTTGAAACACAAGGCATGAGAAGTACTAGATCTGTCTTCCAAAGGGACCTGCAACAACTTTGAATAGTATCCAAAAAAGTGTGTGTGGGTGGGTGGCTATTGTGGTAGACATGATGAAAGCAAGATTGTAGACTTGATGGTAAAGCTCAAACTATTTCTTCATGCAGCTTTTATTGTACTCTGATAAACTACTAGACAGTTGTGAAACTCTTCACCTACTTTTTAAAAACTATCATTATATCACTGGAAACTTCTTACATACAGTTATATTTTATACAGGAATTCCACTTCCGTGCCTAAGAAAAAGGTTAGAGATTTTAAGTCTACTCCCTGTAACCCAATGTTAATCTCTCATTCATGTAAAAGAGGAAAATATTTAACTTTCCCTGCCCTTCAAAAAAATCTATTTCTAAGCAGCTGTGCTTTTATTACCAGTAGTTAATGGCTCAATAGCTTTCATCACAGTGTTCTTTTGACAGGTGCACTGCCCCCTGTTTCCAGTCCAGCATCATGTTGGTGGAAAAGAGAGGGGCATGACTGAATAAAACCGTATCAGAGAAGACTAGAAAGGAAGGCTTTTAGAGAACAACTGAGAGATGGGAGTGAGAGCTGTTAAGTATAGAAAAGCAGCTGAGGATAAAATATAGACCCTGGGAGAATGGGAGTGAGGAAGTCTAGAAAGCAGCAGCACCCTTACCCATCAGCTGACTGTAGAGAAATGATGGGGATTGTGTGTCTCCTGAAGTATCCCTGCCTTTTAGGCTGACCAATCAAAAGATGTCTGATGAAAATTCTGTCTAAATTTTGATTTGAGGATATAAATGTTAATCTATCTAATTTAATCATTGAATAAAAGTTACAAAAGCAGAAAACCAATCTCAGTGGTAAAAACAGTTACTGTATCTGTTAAACACACTAGTGGCTGTGTCTACATTGGCAATATTTGCGCAAAAGCACATGCAAGTGTAGACGCTCTCTTGTGCAAATACTTTTAACGGAAAAACTTTTCCGTTAAAAGTATTTGCGCAAAATCATGCCAGTGTAGACGCAGCCACTGTGAAACAACTTAAAATAACAAAACATGTTTATTACCATACTTCATCTCTAACATTCCTGAAGCAGAAAATGTTTGTGCATGGCTACATTTTAAAAAGTGTGTGATTAAAAAATGTTCATCTCTAATTCACAGGTAACTCTGGGGAGGAAGTTATTGCTGGTTTTTCTTTAAAATTGCAAGAAGTGTTTAAGTATTCTGTGGAGGACAAAGATTTAAAAGCTTAATCACTTTGTGTTTGTTAAAATTTGTGTGTGTTAGTTTCAGGCCTGTAAGTAAAAAGGGCTCTCTCTTTACTCTTTATACAAAATGCTTGCTAAAAACTTACCTTTTCTTTCCATGCTAATGTCTAGCTGACTCATGCCTTGCCTCTGGTAAAAACAAGTTTGTTCCTGTACCTCTTAAACACACTGTAAAGCAACTTCAGGAAATTTTTAGCTAACTCCTCCCTTATCACTGTTAAGGGGGAAGGGCAGATAAACTTCTCTCAGATCCACCATTAGGGGACTGTTAGCTTACTCCTAACATTTAACACTTTTATACAATAATAAAAAAATATAATTTCTTTGCATGTGTTTTAAAGAAATCCTAGAAATTTCATATCACGGTCTCTCATTCAGGCGCTGCAGTTTTACAGTATTATAAACTGCCCCTGACTAAAGGCTTGTGGTTTGAAACACAAGAAGTTATTGCAGGGTGGTGTGGTTTTTTTTTTTTTTTTTTTTTTTTTGTTAACATTTCAAGAAGTATTTAGTGGAGGACAAAGGTTTAAAAAAATCACTTAAAAGGAAATCTAGGAATTTCATATCATGATCTCTCATTCATGGAGTGCAGCTTTACATCAGTGTCATTAAAAAGTTTTATAATCTGACCCTGATGGTTTTTAAAAAAATAAAAAAAATTGGGAAATTCAGAAACAGTTACTGTACCTCTTAAAACACACTGTAAAACAGCTTGTACATTATCTCTGTTGGGAGAAGGGGAGTAAACGTCACTCTGATCCAGTATGAGGGGATAGTTATCTTACTCCTAACGTTTAACATTTTGATACAAAAATAAAGAAGACCATATCTTTGAATGTGTCTTAAAACAAGCCTAGAAAATTCATATTATGATTTCCCATACACGGGCTGTAGTTTTACAGTATTATAAACTAACTCTGACTAAAGGCTTGTGGTTTTAAACCTGAGAAGTTATTGCAAGGTTTTCCTAAATTGCAAGAGGTATTAAAGTATTCAGTGGGGGACAAAGGTTTAGAAAGAGCTCTTAAAAACATTTTACAGAATGATCTCTCATGCACATGGTGAAGCTTGATCGTATTCTCATTAAAAACGATTGTGTGTGGTGTTAAAAGCTTATGCATGCTCATTTTAATAGAACACGCTTCTTTAGAAAGAAGGCATGGCACGGCATGGGGTGGAAGGGTGTCTGGGGCGGACATATCTTCTGATTGGTCAGATCAAAGCAGGGCTAATTCAGGAAACTCTCAATCTCATTGACTATTTCACAAAAAACAATGTCTATCACCATTTTATGCAAAATTATTTTTGGAAAGGACTTTTTTGAGCGGGAGGGGAGGATTCAGTTCCAACCACTTCTATTAATTAGCCAATTGTTTCCTTGTACAAGGACATAGCTGGTATTCAGCAAAGTTTTGGCTAGCCCACTTTTCATGATATCTGAAAAGACAAGAAAACAACTACTTCACAGCAAGTTGACTAAAACTGAAGTAATAGTGTCTTGAGCAGGTAATGGTGGATAAGCCATCTCTGCACGCGTTCTAAATTAAATTAGACAAACTGATTAGCTGATGTGTTGTAATGAACAACCTTCCACAAGCAGTGGAATGGGATAGATAATCAAATATGTATTTTCTGTGTTGAATTTATTTTTTCATATGTTTTTTTCAGAAAATCTAGCTAGACACTTCCTAGGGGGGAAAAGTCGCAATTAGGCTTGGGGATATAATTCTTATGGAGGATCTTGACTGTTATGTAAAACCTCTAGCTGTTGCAATCCCTACCATCAGAGATCAGGATGAGCCCAAACTTTTCTACTTTCAGAGGAAAAAATAAATTTTGTATGTAAAGGTTTTCTCTCCACCATCAGTGCTAGTAGAAGTTACAGGCAAAACTTACCCTGCAGATAAACAGGATAATGCCCATTAAGAAAGTGACATGGACAAGGAGTGAAAAGCAGGACTCTTTCAGACTGAAACATCCTTTATTAATTTTTACCAAAATTCCATGGTGACCGGCATAATATGAACACATAAGGCAGATACAATTCTCTAACCCAACCAGCTAATAAACTATTGGCTTTCAACGTGAAAAGTCTGACCATATTTTTTCTATTTAATGAAACAAATGCTTGTCTCTAGTCCTGTGCCACTTTGTTAATTTTGGGTGTAATGGGCAGATTTTGAATTGGTAGCTGAATATTTAGGCAAAAATATTATGTTCTATATCCTTGCGTAGGAGGGAGTTGCCTCCTCATTCTGACTTGAGTGTTAGCAGTTGTATTGGAACTACTGAGCAAGATGGAAAGCAGTGGGAAACTTTCCAGATACAGCATGGCCTATTTTGTTTTTCACACACAGTTTTAGAAATGTATAAGTGAGAACATGCGGGGACTGTAGAGATAGAATCAAATTCTGAAACAGACAGTCTCCTCACTACACTTACTTGTAGCAAAAATTTACATGTGCCTATTACTCATGTTTGGAAAACCTTTCAAAAGACTTTGGAACCTGGTCTTGCTCCCAGTGAGGTCAGTGGGATTCTTGCCACTTACATCAGCTGGAGCAGAAAAGTCCTCCAGTCCACTCCCCAAACTTGTAAATAAGTGGTTTCAGGTTCTGTTTTAAAACCAGATCTGTACATGTAACTGCAAAGTGAAATGTACAGACTAATCTATTGGCACAATCTTTCTGCAGGGTGGAGTGAGCATACATACTATCTCTTGTCAGAGATCACTCTTCAATCAGTCAAAATTGTTACTCCCTTCCAGGGAACAGAAATGGGGTGCTGCTGTACTGGAAGAAGGGATAGTACAGTACATTGTAATTACACAGTTGGCTGGCATGCTACATTCCAAAGATAATTACATAGGTAGGGCTTTGCACTGCTTATAAATGAGTTGTGACTTTTTTATTAAACACATTTTATGAGCCATTTTTTTTAAAAAGTTGACTTGCATGACTAGTTCTATGAGCACTGCTTACATCTTTTACATACAGGACACACTCAGGGACAGAGGACCAAGAGACTTGTTTAATGGTTTAAAAATACTTGGCATGTTAAAGCTGTAGTTCTTAGATGTGGGAACAAAGAGAGTATGAACTTAAATATATTTGAACAAGTAAATGCCCTGCAGAACTTTTGACTATCTAAACCTAACCATTCATTCCACAGTAAATATAACAGTGTGTTCACTTCTAGGCTATGTCTACACTGC